AATGAATTCAAAGAGTTAAAAGGCGGACCAGGATATCAGCGACCTCCGTGCAATTCATCGAGCATTCCTTATGTGATTCACACATGTGCATGCAATTGCTTGCATGTGTTGAAGCGGAACTGAACAAGATCCGAACTATCAATATCCTAATGTTTAACCGACCCGGATCCTGACGGGTAGCGCAACCAATTTAAAAACTCTGTCATAGTTTCGGTGAGATACATGCTGTTTTTATCCTGGAAAACACAAAGGAAAATTGAACGGCACCAACGATTTCAAATAATATTTATTCCATACGATTAACGGGTGTGTGAAATGAACCTGTTAATGGTTAATCCTAGGAATATGCACATTCTAAATAACCAGAGAACCCCGTTTCCTCCTTCTGTTTCTTCATTGCGTTCAGTTGGCTCAATACAAAAACACCGTCTATCATGTTCCAGTACTTCTATTTGATTGTAAACGAACTGCGAGCTAAGCTTCTGAGAAATAACAAAAAATAGTCTACGATACCATGTTCCATGGGAAAAGAGATGAATGAACTAGTCCCTCTTTGACTAAAATGCAAACTAACGGTTTGCCACTTAAAAACACTAACCCATTCGACAAGTTGCTTCAGCATGATGATCATTTGATTGTTCTCCAGCAACCTAAATATAGAGCCATTTTGCAGTGAGCTACAACGGGCTGTAGACATGTGCATTGTTAAATAGTGCGTTGCGTGCGAGCCCCAATTCACTTTCAAAACAGAATTTTCCGTTCACGGAATTTATTAGTCAATTTTCTCTGGCATAAAAATGTTCTGAATATCAACGATGATTATTTCCCTTCTGGATCTAGTCACATGTTCTGTGTCCGTGATTGCTTGGGTTAGGAAATCGATAAGATTCAAATTGAAATCAGTCAAACCTACTGGAAACATTTTGAAGTAGGTTTGTTTGCTCGTGTAAAAATATACTGCAAATTCACGTTTATTCATAAAGAAAGGATGGGGATGAACTACGGAAATAATCTCCAGGTTTGCCGTCACTGAATAGCTGTCCGGATTATTAATATATCTAAATACTCCTAGTTAGTTATAGACAGTAACGACTACTTCAGACATGTTCTGTTACAGACATATATGTTGATGTTTATTATGATTATATAATTCTAGTGATAGACATTTCGTAGAACTACTAATCCTTTTTAATTACCGACCGTCTCGTGATTATTAGTGTTAGCGATAATATCGTTGTTACGAGGATATACTGATCATCTGTGATACTATTGATAATTAAAATACAGATTTAGAGCAGTGATACACAAAGGTGGCACAATATTGAACCGGACGAATGTTATGCAGTCCTTTGTGTACAGTCCTAGATTTTTTCCACACTGAAAGCTTCTTCTGGTTAGCATATACATAGATATACATAAACTTTTGTTTCATCAATAGTTAGTTTCATCATAAAAATGTGCATGTTTCATTTAGACAAAAATTTACGATGCAAGGAACCCTCATAATCTCAGACGGTGTTAAGCTTATATCAAGATACTACCAGAGAAAAAGCTTTGAACTAGAGCAATTAATTTTGAACTGACCCCAGGGTATTTGTCGAAATGTTACCTGCACATTACCCCATAATTTATGACTAAACACCCGGCGTAGGCTGCCGAATGTGTTTTGCTGGTCTCGTTTCTAACCCATTACAATCATTTTTGTACGAAACGAAATTTGGGTGGGTTACTATGTATGCAATAGCTAGCTGTAGCCCAGACGAGTCCGGTGCATGGTGGAGCAGGTATTCGCATGCGAGAATTTCCAAGCAGAAGTTGAAGCGGTTCACGATTGATCGGCATTCAAGGCTCAGTGGTTTTGGCATGCTCGATCTGGTTTCCACTCAACGGGCAGTAAAGGTTTTAACACCTAAACCGTAATGGTTGATTTTTTGGTTGTTTCGACACGAGCGAGAACGAGTGCCGTTATCAACGCACTCAGGATCTTCTGGGTTTAATTACCGGAAACGGTGCGACGTGTGAGAGTGTAAAGTTGATACTGTATCAGAGCACTATGTTTTCATTTACTTTAAAGGCAGCACTACTGATTGAAACGAATTGATTGACAACTTCGTCAGTTGAGAAACATTTTAAAATTACGGAAACCTAGTGATATGGTACGCGGTGTGGCAAAAATACCATTTTTAAATATGACCAGAGTAAAACGACGATAGATTATACGATTCCCGGAATAGAATGCTATAATGTATTTGCCTTCATTAACCACCTCACCATATATAACATGCTGCCCAACCTGATTGAAATTTCCCTTTAAGAGAGATATATATGTGAAATAAAAATGCTGATGTGTTTTTAGATCCCAATCAATTTTGAACAAAAGGCGTGATACAGTATTTAAAAATAACAATTACACTGAGTGCATATTTGGACAGTCAGTCTGAAATGCATGTTACACATTGCGACGTTATCTCACCGTTGAAGTTGAAGCCCAACAACTGAGTATTTCAGTTCAGTTCGTGCAAATAGAATTAAGAGGTTGAAAAAGCAAAAGTATGCATACAAAAACATACTTGGGAAACCTGTGAATCAATAGAATGTCACCTACGTGGTTATACAGCTGTCTTTTTCAACGGCGCTGGAGTTTCCAAATGAGAAAATTGGACATGCAACGGCTGACACAGCAGTCGGTTGGTGTATGCATATTATGCATTTCTATATTATAATTCAAATGAAGCCGCGCAAAGTCTCACAATCACCGAGGCACACGCAAGCAAGATATTGCGTTTTTGGAATTCGAGGTATCACTCAAAATGAGTTAAATCACATGTCTCCATTATCAGATCGGCTAACTATGCAATCGAAACATTTCCTTTGGCACTCGTATGCGACAAGTTATCATCCTTTTTCTCAGTATGCGCAGTAAAACTCACTAGATGCGTAAGCGAACTCCCAGTATTTTGCTAAAGGAAAATCGTACACACATGGATATATATACATAACATTATTCCTACAGATTTTGTGAGAGAAAGATAATCTGAAAAAAGCAACAGGAAAACGTCTGTCCATTTAGTCTAATCGATCCAGATAGGCGGAGTTGATAGTATGATGAGGACGATTGGATAATAAAAGCCTAATTATGTTTCTGATCTGCGACTGGAGGTTAAATGATTGTTTTAAAACAATTTTTATTTCAATTAATCACATTAACAAACATTTAGAAGCGAAATTACACAAAAATAAAAGTATTCTGTATGCAAAAATATACATCTAGGTCGAGAAGTTTCCTACAGTAATTAATTGTTTAACGTTCATCAGTGTGTTTGGTGAGTGATTTTATTTTGGAGTTCTAAACAACTAGAGAACAAGTTATTAAAAATGATTATGTCTCTGAATTGGAGCTTCGGTTTAGTAAAGAACCTAATTCATAAATTATGATTAATATTGTATCGATCATCATTTACAAACATGTGTGACCTTCTCAAAACCCAGATTATTGCGTCGTTCACTTTTGTCCCGTTCATTTCCTCCATGCGCGGATGAAAAAAATCAAATCTTGCTCAATCCAAAATCCAGCTTCTTTCTCACCTTTCGCTCTGGATGAAATTCAATCCTTAAAAATCTGATAGTTTTGGATTAGTTTATGCCATAAGAAACTTTCAGTGGTGACCAAAGTTTATTATTATAAGGAAAATATCATTTTGCAGCAAAGACTTTAAAATGTAGATCAATGGGGCATTACCTAAGTAAATTTTCAAACTCAATTAGGCTTGTTTGAATGTTTAGCCAGGGAATGTTTTGAAATTACTGCCCCACGTATGCACTGTAGTGAATAAGCAATATAATTATGTGCAGTATTATCGTTTTGGAACTGTATCCTCCCAGATGATGCAACTCACGTTTCCTTGCTTCATGAAGATGCGTACACGGTTCGAATGACTCCCCACAAAACACACTCCTGAAGACTCGCGAGAATTCTGACGGTTTGTGCACACGCTAATCTCTATAGCACCTTGTAACTTTTAGTACTACCAAGATCCGAAATTCATATATTTCGCACTAAGTGGATAGTGAAAAAGATTACGGATAATACCCTTTGAATGACCGTCGAAACTTAACTAACGGAAAATATGAGGTTCATCCGAGTACTGCTTTGATGTGCTGTACTTATTCTGTGATCAGTTTAGAAAAAGAGATAACGAATATCCTTAATTTATCTCAGGTTCATCGTTTAACTGATTGTAAATGCTCAGACGACGCAATAAAAGCATGTTTCAAAAGGAAAATACCAGTGGTATGTTTATCCCGGGTATACTCTGCGAAACAGAAAAACAAAGTTCGCAATATAGCGTGTATGATGGTCTCGATGTATCATCTGCAACATCTTTCCAAATATCTTTTTCAACATAAAACGAAATTTACAGATCCACAGTTCCTGATTAGTACCAACTATACATCCAACTGCAGCCAAAAGCTGATGGCTAGAAGGGAAGGAGGTGTATGCTTCTGGTTTAACATGAATAAATACTGCTTTATTGCACATCAAGGCATTGAGGGAATGTTACGTAACACAAAATCGATTCAGAAATCCAAAATAATGAGATCAAGACGCACTTTCCGTTAGTTAACGATGCTGCTTGAAGCAGGAAAAAATACTTATGTGTGTACTGTTATCGTTTGTAGACCACTGACTATCTCCTGTGGATCGATCCACTAGGCGTACCACATGGTGTTTTGTGAAGGGATTTCGAAATCGTGGGCGCTGAGAGCCATGTGATGTAAGTCGGCGCGACAGTGGATTGCGCAGAGTTGATGGATGCTGAGTGTTAGGTAATGATACATAGGCATTACCGGTAGTATTTGACACAACGGAACCGGAAGAATAATTCACCGATCGTCCGTATGGTGGAGCTGATTGACAACGAGTACACGGTGGATTGCAAACGACGTTCTCAATCCAATCACTTCTTCCATTTGGGTTCAAAAGTGTTTTCCGAATTGAGTTAGATGTAAATATATTTGGTCCGTTTGTTCTTGGTGTCNGTCGGATTTGAACAGGTGGGATAGTGGCAATCAGGGTCAAGACGTGCGGTCTGCTGCTGGTCTGCCGTGCCACGATTTGGCGCCGTCGGACGGCACTTCGCGAGGAGATACCACAACCGGGAGCGAAACCGTTTACCCGTTGCGCAAAATAGATAAAAGTTCATTGCATGGTTGATATACATTAGCAATTCGGCCACAGTATCAGCCAGTTGAAAATATAGGCGTTCATGTGTTCGTCCCGACCCACTCAAATCTAGCACTTGAGAGAGAATCTTAGTGACCACAATGGCCACAGTTGTGACTAGGAAAGCAAAAGAAACGACCAGTAACATAATTGTCATTTGACGCACATTATTCATCTGGTCTCCACTAGCACCCGTTGCTTTGCTCAACTGCTGCATTGGTATCACCGAATGTCGTACACGGATGCGATGCTGTTTCTTTTGCGCCGCATTCACGTGATAAACGATGACCACATTCAACCCAAAAATTAATATAAACGGTAAATAACAATAGACCACAGCATCTATTGTGGTCCACAGCCAAGCGAAGGAAGCAAATTCTGGTTTAAAATTACATTGGTACACCATTTCCTGTCTCACTGAACTCACATCACCAGTGATTGCAGATTGGGTTTGATTTCTCCATGGTTCGGTTGTGTTCGAGTCCTGTGGTTCCAGGTACAGGGAATGATAGGGCTGATGGATGAAATCTGTTGTAGCTGTTGATGATGATGGAGTGGTGGTAGTAGGAATCAGATCCACAGTGATAAAGAAATGCAGACTGAGAAGTATACAGATAAGACTTAGTACAATTATGAGTTTGCGCACCCGAGAATAAGAGATGAAACGTGTACCATGAAGTGGAAAACTGACAACTAACGCGCGTTCAGCGGTGAGCGTTACTGTTAACCAAACGGAGAGGAAACTGGAAGAGACACCGGCGAATTGCGCCAATTTACAGAATACGCTAGTCGAATGTTCCAATTTGCGGTTAATCATGTAGTCAATCCATCTGCGCAACAAACCCACAGTTAGTACGACTTCATCAACCACTGAACGCACTGTGAGGTAAACGAAGGCAGACACATATCGCGTGGACGGATGTCTTAAGACCATGAACGCCAAGATGTTTCCAAAACTGCCTAGAAGAATAATTATCGGTGGTATATATGTCCACAAAAACCGATAAGCACTGCAAGCGGGCAGATGAAAGAACACGTAACGATAGATCATGCGCTCTAATTGAGCTGGCGGAAAGCCCAAACGCTCGTACTGCTCTAACACAGTTGACACATTATCTTCCGTCTCGTTCGTGGATGACATCAACGTGGTTAATCTTTTCACGTCATCTGGTAATTCGTTGCACAAATCAGCACACATTGTTGCCTGATTTTGCTGTTCTGCGGCCAACAATCTAGAGCAATTCCAATAGCATGCTAGAACGTATCATCTGTTTGGACACCTAATCGTCAGAAATCAAATAAGTACCGGAAACACGGAAATTGACACATCCTCCAGAGGTTCAGAGTTCCTCTAAATCAACCAATCAAAAGTAGCTTCCCTAATAGACCCCGTCAACCAATAAGCTTTTCCAGTTGGAGAAAACAAAATTGACCGAGGAAACGCTGGCAGGCATTTCGGTACAAATCGCTGACGAAAGCATGCGTATATCGTTTAAATACGGACAGCAATGAATCTACTGTTCCTCTCATATTGCGACCTAACAAATTGTGTGATTTGAGTGCAATATTTGAAGTAATATGAACTTCTGCAATGGTACCATCAACGAAATGCAAACTTTTTGTAGATCAGTATTATAATGAAAAATGTTTTCGTTGCCCTACATGCTAATACGTGAGGATTAGCAGCATATTTTTTACTCTTTATAACTTATGTAAGCATGCATGCTTACATTTCAATTAAAAATTTACAGTGGTCCTCAAGCGGAGAAAATATACAGTTTCGTATAGTATGCCAAAAGACGGTCGCTAAAGTTTTTTTCATGTACAAAAAGTCTGACACAACTCACTTGCTAGCTGTTCCTTATTGATCAGGCTGAGTAAAGCACTGGGGAGATCTTATAAATGTTAATATGAGAGGATACATAACGATAAGAGCAGAGTATAGACGGATCGGATCGACAATATGATAGATCGGGATGTGGTGGATGAAGAGTGTCATCTTTAATCACATTGGCAAATATAACACGAGTTGATGTTACCATTATTGAATTCTGTGATTTATGTATTGATTGAGATTAATGATTCACGACAGATTATCACCGAACCAAGTTGAAGTGTTTTGGAGTCTTGTTTTAAAAGGTCGGGAACACTACGGGGAGCAATAGAGTTGAATGGGAAAACACATTGTTGAACGAAAGAGGATAGGACTAAAGTGAAGTTCGGAATTACCAAAGAGAAAAACATTTCCGTTTTTCAACCCCCCCTCAATGTAAATATGTGTAGACCACCGGAGATTACTCGTGACAGCCAGGTACTTGACTGATGTCATTCCGTAGTCAGGTTTACAGTTAAGGGTAACAGTGTCCGTTGGAAACGAAGAACGGGAATCACCGATGATAAACCCGATGAACCTAGGTGTGTTGAAACTAAGACCGGATTGGTTGGAAAACTTGTTGATTTGGGATAGATTTTCAGTGAAAGAATTGGATTCAGAAGATAAAATTGTCTTAAAGAAAATGACTTCGTCAGCATAAATTTGAATTTGTTGCAGGGTTGGGATCAAAAGATCACCGTTATAAGCAGAAAACAGAAGCCTGAAGATATCATCGTTAGAAAAGGCATTGTATTAGATTCATAGGTGCCAGTGAGTGCAGTCTGCCGTCCCGTTTATCTGCGTTTTTTTATCGGAGCACATCCATGAGTCTCATCCGGCAAATAATACACAGGGAGATAAGATTTCATAGTTTTCAGTCAGAACAAGTCCTGACGAAAATAATGCTAGATCCTAAGCATGCTTAGCTTCGCGATATTGGTGAAACAAAAGTGACGACTAACACAAGAGTGCGGCGGAACCAATAGAGAGGCCCATGTTTTACTATTTGCAGGAGCTCGCTGATGAATCAGACAACTCCGGCTGAGTGACTTTGAACATATGGGTGAGGCATCATGACTATCATCCGCTGAAAAAGACTAGACAAAAATGACAGCCAACAGAATGAGACGAATCTATGTTTGTTAAGTCAAACAAACAACTCCTACTTACACAGAAATAAACTGCAGATTTCCTTCCTGGGATTGTAAGTTTAAAATCAAAAATCTCGTGCGCTAATTTCATGCCACTTGGTGGTTCATTTGTGAAATCGAAGTAACTTCTGCTTTTCCATGACCAACCGTGTGAAAAATTAAAGAAATCAAAGTCTATAACTCGGCTGTATTTGCTTAAGTTTAAACAGTCTGTTGGACTGAATATAAAGAAATGCCCCCAAATCAAATGGTAATTTTATTTGAAATGAAATAACCCACACATTTACAGGTTTCCATGAAGTGATATAATGATTTTTAATCGCTTCTGAATGCATTTTCGAATAATCGTTGAGCTTGGCAGTTTGCAAGCATACAATTCATCATCAGCCCACGTAACATCCACAGATGTTAATAACAGGATTACAAGACCGACTCTGTTATATGAAGACCAATAATTGAAAGTTGTGTCGATCGCTGAATTGCATTTGAATAGAACAGTTTGTGTGAGGGGTTTGACAGTAACAGATTTCAGCGTTTTGTACCAATAAGGATTCATTTAAACAGCTGTTACGTTTGGTAAGGATTCCCGTAAACAAAAGCTAGTAAAATTTATTTAGATGAGATCCACATTGACAACCTATTGATATAGGCTATAAACAAATGCAGTGTTCGGTGATAAAATGGCCTCGGGTATCACTCACACGGAACGACATAATCAGTGCATGCATAGTGTGAAAGCGCAATTCTTGAAGCTCTTAGCTCTAAAGCTTTTCAAGTTAACATATCTTTTTATATTGATTTGAACTGCTTATCCTTCGGACGTCACTCTCACGCACAATCTTCAGTTCATCCAGTCAACCAGTCAGCCTGAAGCACTGGACTCGATTTTTACTCTTATTAGAATTGATCGATTGCGAATATCCACTGTCCCGTCCGGGATTTGAACCTCAGATCCACCACATGCAAGGCATGTGTGTAAACACTCCACCAGCCAGCTCATACCAGGGCTGAATCGAATTGCCGATTCCTGCCTGTTCATTTATCGTCTTACAATATTATATACATCATACATGTGATATTTTATATTATATTATATTATATATATATTATACGCTGGAGATGCATAGATTATTTATTGAATCTCATTGCACAATATCCGTTCGAAAGAGCTCACACCCAGATGTGATTGGGAAAATTACCGAAGCGGAATTTGGGGCACTGCGTGTGGCTGCTTATCAGGTGACGTGATAATGCTCCCGAAAACGTGTTTAGTTACACTCATGATGCATGCAATGCAATACCCAAAATATGGGTTGAGAACACTCAAAGATGCTCACGTATGTCTGGTTTTCTGCACTTTTTATAGGTTTGGACAAAATTATTGGATTCGATGATATCGGGAATATTTTAGTAGAGATAATGTTGCGCATACGCATTCTACGATTAAAGCATGTGCATCCTGAACTCAGCAGCTTCAACCAGAGGAAGTCTATGCCTTTCTCAACCAGATACTTTCCCAACTGGTGGAGTGCTTGTAACTCGAACCCATGTCCCTATGGATCACATTTTTCTTTCACATAGGTGAAGTCTCCAAGATAAATCCGATAACCAAATAGTTAAAAAATCTGCTGGGTAAACTGCAAACCAAATGCAGAGTGCACTTTAAATTCGTTCACACTGATTTAATTATAGTCACCTGTGTTACAAAAACAGCGTACTATCTCTCTTTCATTTTGTACCTCAAATTTCATCTCACCTGTTTTGCAGTGAAACGTGAAACTTATTGCTTGTCAGTCACGCAGCTCCAGTTAGAAAACTTTACCCATTTTGTCTATACCTGCAACGACTTACACGATCCTAGTACCACGGAACACTTAGTTTTCCCTTTCCTTTTCTCGTCGAAGTTCACTCTATTTACGGGGCTAAACAAACATCATAAAACACGGACCGATGCAACATGCACAGAATCCTAGTCGTTCTATTCACTGATCTGTGCTAAAACCATAAGACATGCACCTTAGACCTGCGTGGGTATCCTTCGACTTTGCTCACTAGCCGGTAATTTAACGTGTTCTCGGAGTTCATGAGGCGAGGAAACTTTAACCAAAGGTTCTTTATATATAAATACACCCCCAGAATTGCACACCTGACCCCGTCATTAAGCACATTTAGTTGAGAATACATTGTCTGTTGCTTAAGGCTCTCATTTGTCGATGTTTCAAAACTTTTGCAATACAAGAACAGCTGCTTTTAACCAATAAAATAAATTTGACGGGCTCTTGCGACTACTTGGATTACTCTTATCCCCAGAAGTGAGGCAAAGTTGAAGATTTTTCGCCAAACGTTCACTTTTTTCTTCCTAGTGTGAATTTTACTGGTGGACCTTTCGCGGCATCCTCTAATCTGGGTTGATCGCATCGCAAGCTATCGCAGATATCGTCTTGGGCTCATAGAACGTTCTCGTAATCACTGGCAGTAAACTGCAACCGTAAAATCGTTTGGTACAAGGTATAATACCTGCAATGGATCCGCCAAATGTGCGATTCAATTTGATACCTGCTTTCTTTGATACAGTGAGGTGCTCTGATTTTGGTCGCGTTTTTTATTTTGAATATTGGTTTGGTCGACCCAGGAATATAATCGTTAAACGTGGGAACAAAACGTTCAGATTAGTGCTGTGATGGATATGCAGGAGTCAAATAAAGTTGAGGTACGATTTACAAGCGCTATTAGTTATGCTACTTTTCCATCACCAAGTTTATTTCAGTAGTCATTAGGCTAGTCCAGGAATACACACACTGTCGAAATGAGTGATAAATTCTACGATCAAGTGCAACGGTTAAACGTTTATGCCTTCATGACAGATGGTAGGTCAACTCCACTGATATTTTTTAAAATCCTCAATGCCTTGATTAATTTTGCCTGCAACATATGTTCATTCGATGACAAGCTCAACGCAAATCACAATCATGGATGCTGCGAACAAGCTTGTCAGCAATAGTTCAACTCCACACTACTCTTCACATAGCATCATAATGGTATGATCAGTAATTCAGCCATGAAATAGGACCATAACAAAGGTTTGATTTTTTATCCCTAGATACCTGAATCGACAAGGCTGAAAAACCAGTGGCTGGTAAAAACCTCCCTACTGAATACTTGTTAAATGATACC